GTTAAGCAACCCAAACTCACCGCATATGCAGAGGAAGAGTTTAGCCCCTTTCACACATACAGTCTTCACTGGTAAATTACCGTTAAGAGATAATGTGTGAACAGGACCTTTTCAAAACTACAGGTAAATTTGTTCTGGCAATCATATCGTTCTTATGGAGATGACGTGATTACTCTGAGCTGTTTACAAAGCTCCGTTAATTATATAGAAGATAGCTTTTCTATATAGATATGGCTCTAGATGGAAATCTGAGCATTGCGCCTCGCAGCTTTTTCAGAATGTGCCGCGCTCATCAGCTGCGACTCTGCAGCTGGATACTATTATGCGCATCTCATGTTTATAGGACCAAAAATGTCTGATTGGCTAGTAATGTTAGTTTGTTTGAGAGTGAAAGCTGTGCTCCTCTCATACATTGGTAGGCGAACTCATGGACTCGAACGTTATATCAACAAGTACTATCTTATTGTCCCGCAGCTAAACGCCACACGCCGGAGAACTTTAAGCCCTGTATTTGATTACGTTTGCATCATCGATTCTGTTATTTTCCTGTTTATTAATGCGCAGCTGCTTTGAAACAGTCTGTAACCGTGACTTGATGAAGTGTTTCTGGTGGCATGTGTTCATTCTCACCCCAGAGATGATGCACCATGTAGAGGTCTCCTATCTGAGAGAAGAAGCCTCCGACTGCCTCGCGGTTGTGCTGTCGGTAGCTGATGGCTCCAGGAAGTCCTGCGAGACAGCAGCGCTTTAACAGGCTTCTGCACTCATGAGCTCACTGCTGACCATCAGTTCAGTTCAGCTAGACGCATGCAGGACCTCATACAGCAAAACATTGAACCCTTCACGACATGTAAATGCATTTTCAAACATAAGGTGAGCACGAGGAAGTCCTGTGATTCTGTGTGAACAGCGCCACCTGCAGACGTCATCAGATACGACTGCAGCCATTAACAGTGTTGGGGAGTAACTAGTTACATGTAACGGAATTACGTTCTTAAAAAACGCCATTATTTTATTTGAAAAAAATAATAATTTTATAGTTTGTCTTGTATATTTTTTTCACGCGTTCAGATAACGTTTTAAGCTGTCATGTTACAACGTGCCCCTCAGATGTTACAATGTACCCCACCTACGGGGCATGTTGTCACATTTCACTTCCATTTCTTGAGGGTAAATAAAGAAAAACGTATACACTCTAATTATGAAACAAAGTGACATATTTGTACTAAAATGACTGTAGATTAAAAAAAAAAGTATATTCTGAGCCCCATGTGGATTTACACAAACTGAGAAAGTCAAAAAGTGTTACTTTGTGCCCCGCTCTCCCCTACATTTAGTTATACTGAAAAAGCTTCAATTCAGTCGATGGTGTTGACCCCGTTTTAACATGTGTTTCTATGTAGACCAGGACACGAGAGCACCCAAACGGAACTTAGGTTACTCAGGAGAAAGGTCTATGCTCCTGGGTTTGCGAGGCTGTCCTACCAGCTTGGTCCTGCTCTCCGTACCAGGTGTTCCAGGTGCCCACCAGCTCACACGGGTAAGTGCTGTCGCTGTGGATGAACGGCAGCACCTCGGCACTGCGGACACAAGCACACCGAGACGTGATTAATCAGGGCTCTGCTGCCAATCACTGACCGCACCAGAGAGCAGGACACGTGCGCTGAAGCTCAGCAGTCACATCAGATCCAAGACGATAAAAGCATGTAATTAACACTGAGGAGAGTGGCTCACCAGAGAGAGTTGTACGCCTCCAGACACTCGGGCTTCACGTTGTGAACTGCAACACAAGCAATAAACCAGAGTTAATGAACACGTCGCACAAGCGCCGAGGCGTCTCGCAGCAGAGGGCAGAACCTACACTGGATTTTATATAAGTTGTTGTCCTCTTTCTTGGCTAGCAGATGGGAGTGAGCGTCTTTTCTGGGGTCCACCTTCCGCACAAACAGTGATTTGAACCAGCTGTCCTCTCGGTTCCGGTTATTAGACGCCGACAGACCCCTGAAACAGTACACAGAGCTCTGATACAGTACACATGTGTCCCTGCAGCACAAAAGCAGTGTTAAGTCGCTGGGGTATATTTGTAGCAATAGCCAACAATACATTGTATGGGTCAAAATTATAGATTTCTCTTCTATGCCAAAAATCATTAGGATATTAAGTAAAGATCATGCTCCATGAAGATATTTAGTAAATTTCCTACCGTAAATATATCAAAACTTAATTTTTGATTAGTAATATGCATTGCTAAGAACTTCATTTGAACAACTTTAAAGATGATTTTCTCAATATTTAGATTTTTTTGCACCCTCAGATTCCAGATTTTCAAATAGTTGTATCTCAGCCAAATATTGTCCGATCCTAACAAACCATACATCGATGGAAAGCTTATTTATTCAGCTTTCAGATGATGTGAATCGTCTCTTATGACTGGTTTTGTGCTCCACGGTCATATATGCTGCATTGCATGATAAGCCCAAACACGCTTCTGTCCTCAGAAACAGTCACAGTACAGTATTAACTGAGGCTGTATGTCAGATGATCATGTGTTTCTGATATTCTGCATGCATCATTCATCAATCACACCGATAACTATGACAGCCTTTTATTAATCAGTGCATGCAAGCAAAAGCTCTCCATACTGTCTTTACCATAACCTGAGTTATGAGTTATGAGTTATGACCTTGAGCAGCGCGTGCGCACGCCTTTGATTCCCGCAGCAAACATGACGCAGACTCTGTACAATCAGCACATTAATAAAGTGTCTGCAAGTTATATATCTGCTAGCAGTAGTACTAGTAGTCTTTATCTAATGCGCAACGGCGTGTAGAAACTCCCGTGTCTCGCTAAAGCACAACGCTCGCACATTTATAACGCTTATCGAGATCAAACCTGATAACAGCGGTAAGGTGTCCCTGCTTCGCCTGATAAAGGCCTGAGCAGGAGCTCTGAAGGACTCTGGTCGCCATCTTCCAGCGAGATAGGACACAAACAGCAGGCGAGGAAGGAGTTAAGGGCTGCAGTTCTCCGGCGCTGCCGCTGGGGGCGCTACACACCTCTGCTGCGGGGACTATATACGGCGTAGATCACTCGTTACTCATTCTTCTATTATTTATTTAGTTTTTTCTGGTCAGAACTTTTTGTAGTCAGTTATTGGTCTAATTTGAATCCAAAAAGTAAGACTGATTACCACTTGGTTAAATGCTAGTTAGTCAAACTGTAAGACACAGTCTTAACCAATGTTGAGCAGTAATTATTTACAGCAATAATATTACTTTTGCAGTAACGAGTAGTGTAACTAATTACTAACAAGATTTCAGTAATAATATTACAGTTAGCATCCATAACACAGCTAGTTACTTGGTTGCTTTTGATGCCTCTCAACCCCTACTGATTTGATGTCCAACAATCCAATAATTCCTAGATTTATTTTCATAATTTTCACGACTCATGAACACATGAAGTCAGCAGAGCAGCAGGCGAGAATATGGAACAGCTTACATTCAGCGGATGGAAATATTGGCATTACATTGATTTTGTGAGGAGAAAAGATGATCTGGGATTACTTTACTCTGACTCTGATATAAATTGTATACAATCTTTTAAAAAAAAAAAAAACATTTTCTTATGAGCTTATGTGATTTCTTTTGATAAAATACATCATGGAATATAATCGTATATGGGTAACAGAGAAATTACAGCTACAATTAGCTTCAAGCTACACAATTAATGTGAATAATACAACACTTTTACTGAAATGTCACTATTAATCACCACTGAGTGTTTGTAATCACTTCTGACTGCGATTCAATGTGGATTCTGGTCAAACGATGAGGCAGAAATATGTTGTTAGTAACATTTTCAAAGAATTTTATGGGGAAGATATGCAATGACAGCTTCTGTGGGGCGTGAAGGAAAAGTAATGTAACTAGTAGTGTAACTAATTACTGTTGCCAGAAAGCAATAAGTAAAGTAATAATATTAATTTTGAAAGGAGTGACTAGTAACAAATTACATTTTTTGAGTAACTAGACCAACACGGGTCTTAACATGTGACTGGAGCCTGTTTACTCTTAAACAACTAAAGCCTGCTTCAGCTCTTATGAAGGCTCTTCAAGATTAATCTATTTAAACTGTATGTATATATACCCCCCAGTGTAAGCTTTTGAATAAATAAATACAAATAATTACGCTGGCAACAATGACATTTGCAGTAAACACACACTTTGTGCTCAACATTAGCCAAAAATGCTAAATAACAGGCCTTCTTAAGTAAGAAAGTCATTTCCAAAAGCACAAACATAAAATAATTTTTGAAAAGTTATAAAAAGTTGAAACTGCTGTATACAGTATAATCAGTTTGTGAAAATACAAGCATTAAATACAGTTAGAAAATGTTAAAAATTGTTAAATTCAATTTCTCATATTTGTATTTTTCGTAAAGTCATAATTTATGTAATAAAATAGTTTTAAACTCGTTGCTATTTGCAATGTATAATGTGATTTTTTTAGTGAGTTGAATTAAAACCAGACCAAAAATCATATTAGTCAAATCAAACATCATAATAATTATTATATAATAATAGTTATATAATAATAGTATACAGAACCCACAACTATTAAAAAAAAATATGTGTGTGTGCATTTTAATGAATAGATTTAAATTATATTTTCACCACTGAAGAAATCTGGTCATCTTATCATAATATAATTAGCAGAAAATAAATCACAGATACACAACTGATTATTTAATATGCGTTTCCCTTACAGTATTTACCATTATTTCATATGTTACACCATGTTTACACTTGACCTCTTCAACCTCAATATGTCGATGCAATAAAGGAAAACAAATGACAGATATTTAAAGTGTAAGAGCATCTCTGATACAAGGTGACATGATATTTGCTAATAAACAAGTCATTTTTCACTGATCTTCAACACAACAAACAAAATGCTGCTACAAAACATGTTTCAAAAGAGAAACGTCATTGCTTATGAATATTATTTACAATAATAACCGCGACTAATAGGCCCACGATTGAGAGAGCTGGAAACCAATCATGCTGAATATGTTTCCAGATGTCCCACAGGCTGTCTGCGTGTCCTAAAGGATCTACAGCAAACAGATCCAGGGTTTATCTTCAGCCGCTCATACGTTTGGCCGCTGTCCGTTTAGTTCAACACATACAGAGCTTCTTCGTGTTTGTATGCAACAACTTTAGTTAGACTTCTGAAAGAGAAACGACTTTCATCAAATCACCACGGACAGGCCTACTGGACTTCTCTAAAGTGAAGGGAGAAGATTTTGGTTGTATTGGTCAGTAACTCAACACTGTAAAACATTACCGTGAATTAAACGGTAAAAGACTGTAAAAATGCTACAATAAAAACCTGTTAAATGGTAAGTTCCCCTACTATACACAGTGAAAAACTGTATTGGACATTACATGTAATTTTACGGTAGTATACCGTTTTTGGAAGTGGAAAAAGACCGTATAATTTACAGTGAATAACCGTAAATTGACATTCCCAGAATTCCCTGCGTTACATTTCAAATTTGATGTTATTTTGTTGAAATAACTATGTTTCTTCTTAGTTTTTTCTTATCAGTTTTGTATATTAGGGTTGTGTGTTACACCTAATGTTGTTAAATGAATGTTTATTGCATTATTTCAGTTTCATGTGTGTTACCATGATGTGTTTAGTGTTTGTGTGAATGACACTGTGCACCTTCTATATGTGTTAGTATTTGGTTCATCGTGTGACTTTCTCATCAGCACCTGCTTTTGGTGGTTATCAGCGTATTACAAAGCTACAAAACGGGTTGGTATTTTAACATTGTATCAGTTCATGAAATTACAGTATTTAACTGTAAATGTAAGTTAAAACCACAGCTGCCGGTTTTTTACCGTCAATTTTACAGACTGAGACGATCACCTGAAAGCATTTGATTGAGCAGCATGACTAAACATTCATAACATCTGAATCGGTGTAAATGTTTTAGTTCAGTGTGAATTAATGTTTCTCACACGGATCTCCTGAATGCTTTGGATTCCGTTCATCTATTCTGCTCCTGGTTGTATGTGTTTCTGTGTGTGGTATTGGCATATATGTGACCTAATAAAAGGCCATTTCTAATTTTCACACATGTACATTCTTAATTACTTCTTAATTTCTGATTGTCGAGTTGATTGCACAGATTATATTTGAACTAATCTGAGCTGGATGAAGACATCATTGCATCAACAATGAACTGACTTGAACTGAAATTTTGACTGTTTGCTATTGTACTCTTTTTTTGAGCTGCTTTACAGCAGAGCTGAATTTTGTTTGCATTATTGACGCACTATTTTCCTGTTTAACTCCGTAAAACTGTTTTGACACAATCTGGACTGTATAAACCGCTATAGAAATAACGGTGACTTGACTTGACATTCTCCAGGTGGATGGAGATCCAAGTAAAATTTACACATTCATATGTTTATGTTAATAATATCTATATGATGATTTGTCTATGACATTACATGTAGCAACCGTACATGTCAACAAATATATATTTTATTTATATACGCAACTTAATTAAAGCTACATATATACAAAAAAATCTGTATGTTTATGTATGCTTTTGTAACAATTTTTAAATGTCTATCTTTTGTATTTACTTATATAATATCAACATGTACTGATGGGTTTTAGGATGGATATACATGCGCATGACATATCTACAATAATATATTACTTGCACATAAACATACATATTTGTTGGTGTTATATGTATGAATATGTATGAAATTGTTCCAATTTCTAATAGGTTTCATGTATGTTTTTACTTCATATGACAATATATTTCACAACTGGAAATGTAATATATGTACATAGATGACATTACTACACTTCTGTCCTTTATTAAATCAAATGCAAACCAAAATGAAAGACTGAAGCGAGATAAAGGAGTGTAATTAGTCTGCGAGAGCTCCAGGAATATGTGTTATTTCTCCCTCATGTTTGGTTCAGAAGACAGAGATCTGCTCAGGATCAGTGACTGACACCTCTGACCTGAGAAACAACACAACTATTACTAAATGAACCAGAGATTACAAATGCAAACGCACGTTTACAGCGCCAACGAGCTCATATTAATCATGACATGCTTCAACAATTTGGATCATATGTGAAAACGTTTCTAATGATCTGAGTTCGTGTTGATTTGAGTTGGAATCACATCTATTGATCGCAGTTTCTTTCAAAACATCAAAACACGCTTTAGAACAGAGTGTTGAACATTTTGTAACCGATGAATATAACAAGTGAATAATTGATTACATTACATTTCAGCCATTTCCCAGTTGTGACTCTGTAAACGCCGGCGAGCCGCTCTGAATGAGGATGGGAGTCTGCAGCATTGGTTGCTAGGGCATTGCTAGGTGGTTGCTAGGTGGTCAAGAGTCCATTCCCAAGTCTCTATGATATTCGTGATGCTTCTATATCTCCTTTCCTCCTTCTAGCATGGGGAAAACTGTCAATCTACTTGTTAAGAAAACTGACAGCACATACAGGGCCCTCAAGATGGGCTGTACAGTGCCTTCCGAGTCTAAGTGAAATGTAAGATAAAATGTTAAAAAAGAAAAATAAAATCAGCAAAAAAGGCGTGAATGTGTTTCTGTAATTAATTAGCAACACCAAAGTCAAAATCAGTTGAATAACTTGAATGCAGCGTCCGAGCAAAAGAATGAAAGCAGTCCAGGTCGTGTTGTGTTGTAGAGCATGGGCCTCTAGGTGGCGCTTTTGTCAGTCTCTTCAGAATCACATCTGCATGCATCGCAGACGTATAGACGAAAAACAGCAGTATCAAAGTAGTGCAAAGACTGCGAAATTAAATATAAAAATACAACTGTGGACACATATGAAACAAGTGTGAACAGAACTATTTACCTGAGAGTTCAGTCACACTTACCCATGCCTGTACTTACATTAAATAATAAAATATCAAAGCAAGCGTCTGTATGTGCTGGAA